CAGAATCGTTCACCGTGAATCAGCGACACCCCCAAAGCCAAACCCTCACTCGAGACGTAGGCCAATGGGAGTTTGTAGAGAAAAGGCCACCCACCAGCCAGCAAAGCGCCAGAAACACAAGCACATGGCATGCTAAGGCAAGGAGGTTGCCTGGGACATGAGCTAGGCACGTTCCTCGCACTACACTGTGATCTTTGCAGGCCTTTCATTAGCTCCATGTGATCCCTATCCCTTCCCCAGCATGGGGCCCCTCTGCACATTAATAGTCTTAATGCCTGGGGCAGTCTCTGCAGAGGGCTCTCGTTCCAAAGAATAGGATAACGGGACTGGTGAAACGCGATTGTTTAGAAGGCAGGCAGATTGCTCAGTGGGGGAAGGTTAAGCTTCATTTCACAGAAGGAAAGAGTCTGTAAACATGGCTGGGTTGCGAAGGAAGAGTTTCAGTTCGCGGTGATCAATGCACTCCAAACCAGTTGGCGTTTCTGCCAATGAAAGCCCGTGTGCGACACCACTGCACAGCCAGCAACTTTGAGTGAATGCATACAGCCTGCAGGTGTACTGGCATAGGGATGTGGGCTCGTTGGCTCTCAACCCAAGCAGGGTCAGTCCTGTTCTGAACGTGGGCGGAGGACGAGTAAGGAAAACAGCAGGAGTTGTAAGAAATGGAGCTGGTGGCTCAGTAGATGCGTGTGACTGTGCAAAAGCCTTGGGGGCTGTGGTGGATAATCAGCTGAACACAAATCGCTAGTGCAGTGGGCTCTGGCCAAAAGGGCTAACGTGGTCCTGGGATTCGTCAGCAAGGGACTCTTGAGTAGGAGCAGAGTTTATTTGACTTCTGTACTTGGCACTGGGATGCCCACTGCTGGAATGCTGTCTCCAGTTCTGGTGCCCGCAGGTCAAGAGGGACGTTGATAAATGGGAGAGGTCCAGAGAACGGCAGGGGAATAATTAGGAAACAGGTTGGCGGATGATAGACTTAATCTAGCTTAGAAAAGAGAAGATTAAGGGGTGATTTGACCACACTTACTATTAATAATGGCTCTTCAGCCTAGCAGGGAAAGGTCTAACACCATCTCAGGGAGCTGGAGCTACACAAATTCAGACTGGAAGAAGGTATCCGTTTTTACCAGTGAGAGTAACTAACCATCCGGACACTTGACCCAGGGTAACAGTGGACTCTCCATCACTGATAATGTTTAAACCAAGATTGGAAGCTTTTCTAAAAAGTTGGCTCTAGGAACTAGTTTGTGGCAGGTCTCTGGCCTGTGATATGCTGGATGTCAGACCAGAAGATCATTGCAGTTATTCAGGAGGGGTCAGGATTTACTGCTGAGGTGTCCTCACATGTCTCTGGCTCCGCTGATGATGATAACCAGAAGGCTGCTTGCGTGAGTACTCAGTGATGTGTGCCGTGTGGACTTGTGCACTTAGTCTCCTCAGCAGACCCCGAGAGAGCCCCCAAAGACCACAAGCCAGATGAGGATCGAAGTGCTAGACCAGGTTTATTGTTAAGCGAAGTACAGTCACAATTGTCAGTAGCTTCTACTGAACCACTATGCACATGTGCCCCATAGTAATGGAATGACTCATTCAGCGGGAAATTTCCACTGCCCATAGGTCATCCAAAGTCTCTCCTCCCAAGATGCCACTTTATATACACACTAACAACTTACACATCACTGCTGATGTGTCAGGTTGCCACCCTCTGATGCTACTTAGATATCACCCATCACACCCTGTACCTCGTGGTTTGATTAGATCATCTCTATCCATCATGCTGTCATTTTAGACCCTGTCCTGAGCCTACATCTGCATCTATGGGAAGTGAGTACCAAGGTCTTTTTTAATGAGCTAGTGATACTGTGTACTTTCCACTTATGACCAGTACCAATTACTGTTCTATACCTGGAGCTATCCAATTAGCGTTTTGCACTCTCAGCCCTGTTCGTGCCAAGTTTTGTGAGCAGGGGCCTGTCTCTTGCTCACAATTTAGCTTTGCTTTATGTTAGTCCATTGTTAGCTAGGCCTCAGGCCAGGCCTATGCTACATGGGTTTATGTTTTAGGCCTTCATCTTACTACAAGGATAATGGTCCCTTCTGGCTGTAAAATCTATTTGTCTTCCCCAAGTTAGTACTGAGTTGTTGCCCCAGCTCAATGTTGCTTATCTTTGGCATAGACAGCCTTAACTGTTTGTGGGATAGAGATGGTCAAATTTTCCCACGGAAACATGGGAGTTTCAAAGTTTCCTTTTGAAATCTCAAAAATTGGTTTTCAATTAAAGTGAACCATTTTGAATTGAAATTTTCGTTTAATTGGTTTTAGGCTTTTGTTTTTTCATTTTCCCCCTGCCAGTACAATACAATGTGTGATCGCTTGGGCTTTCTTCCTAGTCCCCACCCCTTCACTTTCCCATTTTCCAAGCCAGCTGTTGAAAGACTTCGCCAACATTGGAAATGTTACAGGGAGCAGGGGGAGACAAAAAATAAAGGGGGCAAAGAAAGCATTAACTATCATTCACTGTATTGTATTCACTGGCAAAGAGGGGAAATAAAGAACTGGGAATAAAAATGAAACGACACTTGAAATGCTCAACTTTTTAAAAAATTTTTGATGATAAAAGTTGTTCCATTTTGAAATTCATGTCAAACGCGTTTTCTGCCTGGGACTGTGTATGTGAAAACTGATTTGCTTGTGGCGCTTAGACGTCTTCTGTGAGACCAGCCTGCACACCAGCCTGGGGTGTCTTGCCTGAGACCCTTCTGCAAAGAACAGGGATTCGCCTTCCTTTCCATCCTGAAACACTCAACCATGGCAGCATGCTCCCTGGCCTCAGCCTCCCCAGAGTCCTGTCCAGACTGCGTGTCAAGGACTTTCTGGTCATCCCTGCGGAAAGGAGATGCACAAATGCCTGCTGTCATTCTTACAGCTCATTTCACTTGGAGCTCCAAGGACCCCTGTTCAGTGCCCATTTCCCATTGGGGACCCCCAGTGTCATCTTCTCTGGACAGATCCATGACGCTCCGGCTCACTGTAACTGGGGCTCTGCCTACCAACTGCTAGCTGGGGGGTGTGGGAGGCTCGGATAGGGAAATCCTCCAAGGGAGAACGTACCAAATTACGATCACTCATTCCAGCCAGGCCAACCGATGGGGGGCTAAGGGAGGCGACTGCCCTGGGGCCTGGTGATTGAAAAGGGCCATGGCTCCATAGCAGCAGCGACAGTTGGAGCCCTGGGCCCTTTAACTCACTGCCAGAGCACCAGGTGGCATTGAAGGGCTGGCTGGGGGGTGCTAATCAGCCCCACCTCTACTGCCCGAGGCCCTGCTCCTTCTTGGAGCATGGAGCCAGTTCTCCCATCCACCTGGCCCTGGGGGCCAGCAAAACTGTTGACCCTCCTGATTCCAGATCTCTCCCTACTGCCCGTTAGTTACCTGGGAGGCTGTGTCACTACAAAATGGTGTGAGATCTGGCTTCAAAGACCCACAGGCAGAGGGGCTGGATCTGGAGGAGTGGGGGGTGAGGCTGAATGCCTGGCTTCCATTGTCTGTGGGGTGCATGGTTCTGTTCAGTGGCTTTAGCGATCCCCCCAACATTGTTCCACAATCCCGCCCACAGGGCACAGACAACTGACTGGAGCTGTTCCACACCCACCCGTCATCTCTGTCCCGGGGTTGAGTGAAAAAGACAAAATCTTGTATGGCTTTTGCACTGGGACTTTCCAAGGACCATTCCAGTCACCAAAGCTTAACCGTGAAGCCATGCAGTAGCCCAACAAGAGAATCCCCACCAGCCAGCTGAGAGCCTCATGCTGGGGTTTCATGGAGAGGGGGGGCAAGTCATTAGGAGGCAGAGAACAATCACCCCCATTCAAGATTTGTGCTGTGTTCCTGCTGCCCGTGGCAAGGCAGATGCTCTGGAGTGAGCAGCAAATGTCTTGTTAAATATGTACTCAACTCTAGGAGTCTCTTTCCAATCTACCAACTATTTGCTACTCTGTGGCTACATCCTACTGGGAAGTGGCTGATGTGCTTCCTGCCCATTTGTCCATTCTGCAACTGCCGGCAGAAGGGTGCCGGAGACAGCCACAGCTACAGCTCACATAGAACCACTTCCAGGAAATAAATAGATACGCACAGAGCATTGAAATAACCCCACCTGTCCCCTTCCTGTAACGCTCAGGGATTCTGGCCCATCCTCTGCCTCAGTTTACCTTCCAATCACTGACCCAGCAAACTGCAACTGGTGTCTTCACAACACTGATCCCTGTTCTGGGCATGGTGTGTTACCACAAAGGCTGAGCACTTTCCCAGCCTCTCCCTTGGCTCAGTTACTCCTCTCGGCCGGTATTCCCCTGTAGGCAAGACAAGTGTTCCCATCACATGACCCCCCAGGACTCATTCCCTTTACGGGAGGAGTGAGTGAAGCCTCGCCGAGGTGAGGGCGAGCCCCCGTTCCCTTCAAGGGTCGGCTCATCCTGGCAGCCAGCAGGGCCTCACTGATTTCCCCCAGCAGCAGGTCATTCACAGGAAATGAACCCATCTCATTCCCTGGGCCACGAGGAGGGAAGACAGCACCGGATCCTACCAGCAGGAGCTGAAAGAGGCTAAAAATGAATCCATTTGATCTTTTATATTTTTCTTCCCCTTTAAGTCTCCTGCATGTGTAGTACTAACCACTAGGGAACAAAGGGTGTTTTCAGGGGCTAACAGTGTCCTCATGGGCAGTGGGTGAAGATAGGACTGGGAGAGACAAGCCCGCATCCCCAGCCCTGCCCCATCTGCCCAGGACCCGCCCCCCATCACAAGGAGGTGGGGTGCCTTGCGGCCTGAGTCTCTGTGGCCCCAGCCTTGGGGGGAGGAGGAGGACATGCAGCCCCAGCCTCCCCACAGGGGTCCACGATCCCTTGGGCCCCCCAGAACAACAAGCATTTTCTGGATTGTGTCCCTCTAAATGTTATTCTCCCCTTCCCCAAAAGAGGTGTGCGCAGAGAAGCTCTTACCATGGGCATCTCGGTAATAGGCGTGGGTGACGCTTCGGAACCGCTCCTGCCCTGCCGTGTCCCAGATCTGAAAAGGGCAAAGACAAGAGACAACATCAGACGCAACACGAGGCTCAAGCCAGGCCAGGCTGCTCTGGAAGCCAGGAAGAGACACTGGGCTCCCTTGTTTCAAGAGGTTTCATTTCTTTCTAGGTCTAAAACAAATTGAAGGGGAGGAGCTGGCGAGAGCAGCTCTATGGACTCCAGAGAAGCATTGGAACAAGGATTTTGGTAAGTCTCCCGCTTAGTCACGTGGGAAGTGACCTGCATTGCCCAAATCATCCCTGCCCCAGTGTGCTATTAGGGTGGCAGCTTCTGATTGGACTGTAATTATTGTCTTTATTTCATTATGAAGTCACAGCCAAACATGTTGGGGACTCGTGCAATGTTCCTTCTCATTTTTCCATCCATGTACAGAAGAAATTTTGTTGTGTGCACCTGGGCATGTGCACCTCTCAGAAACTAACATGAACGCTGCTGGCTGTGGGAGGCTGTGGGCACTCTGCTAATCAGCTGGGCAGCATTTGAGTCTGTCCTGGGTGGTCACCCAAGTGCTCAGCTTCCAAGGAACACTGGTCTTGTGGCGTGGTCCAGCTAGGAGTCATGACTACAGCTCCTTCGAAATTCAACAGGATTGCATCCGATTCCAAATCCTGTTTCTTTGGACACACCAGGAATGAAGCGCTTTCAGACAACTGTGCCTTCCCAAAACAACAGTCAGTGAACCCCACTGCCCATGTGGGTGTTGACACATACCTTTGAATGGCATGGAGATTACTGTTTCAGCTACCTGGTAACATAAAGGAGCTTAATAGCTTTTTACAGCTCTATTAAAGGAAGAGCTGTGGTCATATCCAACCCATCTCAGAATGGAAGCCACCTTTTGGAGACTAGCTTTCTGTGCTTAGCTATCAGGTTCTTTTCCCTCTCAACCCACCTCTCCTATGAGCTAAGAGCCTTGCAAGCCAGATGCCCAGCTAAGGGGTTGTGAATGCAATTACATTACAAAGCCTTTCCAAATTGAGCCAGTTCTATTTGTTATTACAGATTGACCCTCTCTAGTCTGGCAACATCCGTGGTCTGGCATGATTTGAGTTAGCTAGACATCCACTTGTCATGGGAGTGACCAACTTTCCCGCTGTCCCATAAAGTGCATTTCCAGGCCCCAGTCCTGGCTCTCAGTGTTTTGGGCTGTCCTTTAGCTCTCACTGCCCCCGAAATGTCTTCTCAGAGCCCAGTAAGCTGTGGCAGTGTCGATGCTGCTGCTAGACAATATTGACCTCTATGGTCCGGCAAATTCTCTGGTTCGGCACTGGCCAGATCTCAAGGGTACCAGACTAGAGAGGTTCAACCTGTACTTCTTTGGCAGGTTCTGGTTCACTCACAAGCTACTCATTCCATGTCTCCATCCCTCCAAGAGAAGCACCATGGAAAATGTCCACTTAGCTCCTCATGGTTTCATGTCATGCCAGGCCACATACCACAGGCCAAAGTGACTCACATGGGGCGTTCACATGAGCAATCCTAGCTCTCATGGCGACGGAGGAAACATTGTGGGTTTCAGCAATGGTGGGCAGAAAATTAAGATCCAAGCAGATATTCTTTTGGAAAATATAAAATCTAGTGATAACGCAGACTCCTGAGAAAATGGCTTTACCATTTCATTTCAACAGCAATTCATGGTCCCATCTCTTTGCACATGATTCATTTGCAACTGGGGGACATTTGTAGGGCTATGACTAGAGAAAGTGACAAGTGCAAGACATATTGAAGAGGCGCGTCACCATTCTTCAGCCTGTCTGAAGACTGAAAGGATGGGATTTGACAAGCAGCCGACAATGCATCCTTAATCGAAAATCCATTTGCTAGATGGATGGATGGGGGGGGGGGGACCTGCGAATTGAATGCATCAGGTTTTAATGCAAAGATGTGTTCACACAGAGACACACTCTCCTATTGGGGGAAAAGGCGAGCGAAGAGTATTTGTTAGCTTTTGGCACAGAGGTCACAGGAGAGAGCCAGGTTGGGGGCAGGAGATGCTACAGTAGGGATGTAAAATCCCCTTTAAGGAGTTATCGGTTAAACATTATGTGTAACCCAGTTAACAGCTTGAACAGGAGTGGGCCCCCTGCCCATGGCGTGGTGCACCAGTTAACTGTAACCAGCAAGCATCCCCCCGACAAGGGTTCGAGTTAACTGGTTAACCATTCACATTCCTAGACTACAGCTGTTCAGATTCTTTTTGTCTGTTCAGATTTCTACAGGCCAGGATGCATGGGGAGGGGAGCGGATAATGGTGTTTTTCATCATGAAGGGCTCGTCTGCCCTAAGAATTAGTCTGGATTTCAGCCATCATAATACCCCACCCTTGCGGATTGTGACGGGGTGTGCATACTCGGCACTGATGCAGGTGGGTTAAGACCCTGTGGGCGGAGGAAGTCCTGCCCCTTCACCCAGATTGGGCATGCTCCACATGCTGGGGCAGCATAAAAGACAGCAAAGCAGCTCAGTCTGGGCTGGCCACTGAAGAAGCAGGACCTTCAACTGGAGCTCCAGGGCTTCCCCAGCCAGCGATCCAGCCAGTGGAAGACAGAGCCACAGGAGACCACTGCCACACAGCCCAGATCAACCCCTGCGAGAAGCAGCTGCCAGGGAACCAGAAGACCCAACCACTTCATGGGATGCCATCCCACCAGCTCTGGTAGGAACTGACCCAGGGAGGGTGCAGGAGCAACCTGTTCCACCCAGGTAAACTCAGCGTGTTTTGGCTGGATTCCCTGCCGAGGGAGTGGCAGACCACTCTGCTGCTCAGGAACCTGGTGAAGTAGGGTGGGCCCAGGTCCCCCTACCAGGGTGAATGGCCCCCAAACCCCCAACTTATTGACTGGATACCAAACCGTGCTGCCCTGAGTTAAGGGCCATCCCCTATTGACTTTGGCTGCTAGAGCGGTGGGCTACCCTGAGTTAGAGGGCTTCCTCTCATTAGATGCTAGCCATTAGGCTGTACTACCTGGGAGTGTTCATAGACCGTGAGAGAGACTGACGACGGTTCAACAGCTGACTAGGCGGCTTCCACCATGTACTTCCCCCCAAGAGACGGGGTGTGCATATGCCATGATATAGACCAGTGGCCCCCTGGTTTCTGTTATCTTCTACATAGGGTCTCCTATTAAGCTTCTCATCAGAACATCTAAGCACCTTCCTGTAGTGTCCCATGTTGGTGGTTCTCTCATCTGCTCCCGGGGGAGGAAGTGGGGGGAAGGGAGAAGTGGGTTAGGGTTTTAAGGTTGTTAGGGTTTTAAGGTTTGGGCTCTTGTTCAAGTAGGGGTAGCCTCCCTCAGTGTCAGCAGTGGCTTTCCTCGTCTGTTAAATCGGCTGAAGTCAAGGCGAATTCCAAAGGCATACAAGAGCCAAGGCACTGGTTTGAATGGGGGCTGTCTCCTGTCAGAATTTATTCTCGCCCAGTGGTAATTAAGGAGCCAAGGTGAAAAAAGCTGCTGGGTTGGGATCAGTATCCCCAGTACAAGAACACCCATCAAGGAGCCAATGGACCACGGGGACTACCCTCCTCTCCCTTCGCAATTGGGCCCTTAGCAGGGAAGGCCCAGGAACTTCTCACTGCAGCTAGCTCTGCTGTACTTGCGTAACATGCAGAGATTTCAGGGCTGCCTCTCAGCAGTACTGGAAAAAATTCACACTGCTACCAAGATGAAGCAGCAGGCGACAGTATGTGGCTGGCGCTGGGTTTGGAGTTAGATTTGCTGCTTGCTAATTTCATTACCCTGCAGCACATGGTCGAAAGCCGCTTGCTGGTACCTTTCCTGCATCTCTCCCGAGCCTCCAGCTTTCCCCTGGAGACCGCATGCTGGGGAGCTGCACTGAGAAAGCCCAACGGATCCGAAAGCCCCCTTGCTGCGCAGGGCTTAACATCTTCAGCCTGAGTGGATCTGAATTCCAGTATGGAAGGTCTTTCTCCACCACTGTGCTTGTGATCGTTTGATGGCCTCCTGGGCCGTGCCATGGTGGCCATAGGGGTGGGGGAAACAGGGTGTCTCTTTTCAAACATTTGCTTGAAGTTTTTCCACAGCGCCCACCGCTCTAATATCCAAGCAATTCCCACGGGCATTAGCTCTGCCTGGCTGGAACCTAGCAGGCTTCACAAGTCCTCGGACCTTCTGTTCCATGGCGAAGGAGGCTCCAATTTGAAACAGTTCAACTTCCCACCCCATCAGTGCAAAAGATCTCACAAGGCCAGGGAAGTGGGGGGCAAAGGGTGAACCCTGGCAGGCCTTGCATCTTGGGACTGAAACTGGCCCTAAGAAACACAGGACCTTTTTAGCCCCTGCTACCCAGGGCAGAGGCTGTGTTCTATCAGATGTGCCATGTTCTTGGCTAGCGGGGAGCAGAGGTTAACAGATACCTTCCATTGTCTGGTTCCCCAACCACACTTCTTTTTGTGGTTCAGGAACTGATAAGCAGCAGCTCTGAGCTGTAGACGGATCCGTCTCCCGCTCCAACTCATCTGAGGAAGTGGGCTGTACTCACGAAAGCTCACGACCGAATACATTTGCTAGTCTCTAAGATGCCACAGGATTGCTCATTGTGTTTGTAGCTGATGTCTAGATGGACCTGTACTCTGCAGGAGGTCACGTCACCTGATTCAAGGTCCTGGGACCGTAAAATATAGGATTCTATGCAGCCTGTGACCTTCACTTGCATGGGTAACCCTTTCTGTGGTGGGCACTCCACCGGGCATAGGGTTGAAGACCAGAAGGGACCATCAGCCCATCACCTCCCAGGCCATCAGTGCCACACCATGCCAACCGGATTAGGCCAGAGTATTACGTTCCTCTCAGGGCTACTCGTGTGTCACAAGGCCCTTTTTAGTGGTCTACAGTACAGCAAGTTTTGTGGGGAAGTAATGGGTTACCTCCCAGGAGATTGTCTGAAAAGCTCTCTCTCTCTCTCTCTCTCTCTCTAAGGAGATAAAAGCGTTACAGCCCTGTTATCCATAAGGTTAGAAGGGACCTCAAGGGTCATCTAGTCTCACCTCCTGCCAAGATGCAGATTTTGTTGGGTCTAATCCAGGGATGGGGAAGCTCAGGCCTGGGGGCTGGATGTGGTCCCTGTCTTGCCTGGATCTGGGCCCTGAGGATCAGGTCTCAGGGCTCTCCTCCCCCCACCCCACCCCCACAGAGCCTGCAACTACTGTGGGATTGGAGCACACAGTCTACTAGCCTGGACCCCTCCAGGCTCTGGTGTGCAAGGTGGGGTTTTTTCACTTGTGTACGGCCCCCGGGATTTTTGGTGGGGGGGGTGTTGGTTTCTCATTTGTGTGCAGCCCCAGACTGATTTTTCTGTGGATCAGAGGCCCGACCCAAAAAAGGTTCCTCAAACCTGGTCTAACCCATCCAAGACAGACTCTCCAGCATCCCGAGGTATCTGTTCCATTCTCCTCCTGGTCTTACAGTTGGGGAGTTCTTCCAGAGATTTCATCTAAATTTGCTGTGCTGGAATTGGACCCTGTTGCCTCTTGTCCTGCCCTCTGTGACAAGAGAGAACAGCTCTTCTCTCTCTTTTTTAGGGCAGCTTTTCAAGTCATTGAAGGCCGCTATCATATTCCCCCTTCCTCTCCTCTTTTCCAAACTAAACACACCCTATTTCTTCAGCCTTCGCTCGCCTGGCTGCGTTCCACCCCTTTGATCGTCTTTATCACACAGACGCCAGCTGAGGCCTAAGCAGAGGGGCACCATCTCCACCTGTGACTTGCATTTAATTTTTTTGTGTGTTTTTTGCAACCACAAGGCACTGTTTCCTCACATTGGGATTGTAACCCACAACTTCTCAGCAATACTGCTGTCCAGCCAGTTACCTTCCAGTCTATATGTGGGTTTCCTTTTCTAAGGGCAGCCCTTTACGTTGCACTTGGTTAAATTTCACTGTGTTGTCGACAGCCACGTTCTCCGATTCGTAAAGATCCCTCTGAATGTTAGCTCTAGCCTCCAAATGTTGGCAACCCATAGACTCCCACCCACAAGTTTTGTGTCTTCTGCTCTCTGTTCCCACAGCCAGGGCATCACTAAAGATGTTAAACAACCAACCCTTCAAAATAAAATCCAATCCCAACCACTGTTAGTTCTTTCTTCTTCCTTTCTTTTGTTTTCTTTGAAAGTGCAGAGAGGTTTCACTGCACTCACTCAACCATAGGTATTTCTAGGCATCTAGCCAGCCCAGCTGAGCCCTGCTGCAAACAAGCTGCCACAGATGAGATCGGGGTCATACAGAGCAGATGAACGCGGGGCAGGATCTTACCTGCAGCTTGACCTTCACTCCATCCACATTCAAGACTTTATTCTGAAAGAGAAAACAGAAGAGCGATGAAAAAAAGAATATGCCCTCCGGACACAACACGGAGCGAGACCATATCCCTCCTGCCGTGCTGATTCAGACTCTTACAACAGCGATGGATTTGCGCCTTCTTGCTTTGTGCCACAGGCACTTTGTTAAGTTGTATGGGACTGGCCAATAAATATTTCAGCTTTTCCTGGCTAACTGTGACCCCTATGTATTGTATTTAGAAGAACAGCCTTTCAGTGATACCGCCCCTTTCATCCAAAGCACTGTCATAGAATCCTAGTACTGGAAGGGAACTCGAGAGGTCATCAAGTCCAGTCTCCTGTCCGCATGGCAGGACCAAGCACCATCTAGATCATCCCTGACAGGTGTCTGTCCAACCTGCTCTTAAGTCTCTCCAGCAATGGAGATTCCATAACCTCCTGAAGCAATTTATTCCAGTCTCACAAAAGCTCATGTTACCATTTACATGTTTTGTTAGTCTTTAAAGTGCTACTAGTCTATTTGGTGTTTTTTAAGTTTTTCCTGTTACAGATTAACTTGGCTACCACTCTGTAGCTTTTTAGCTATCCTGACAGGAAGTTTTTCCTAATGTCCAACCAAAACCTCCCTTGCTGAAATTTAAGCCCATTGCTTCTTGTCCTATCATCAGAGGTCAAGGAGAATAATTTTTCTCCCTTCTCGTTGTAATTCCTTTTAGGTACTTGAAATCTGCTATCAAGTTCCCTCTCAGTCATCTCTTGTCTTATCTAAAAAAACCCAATTCTTCAGTCTTCCCTCATAGGCCATGTTTTCTAGACCTTTTATAATTTTGTTGCTCTTTTCTGGATCCTCTCCAATTTCTCCACATCTTTCCTGAAATGTGTTGCCCAGAACTGGGCACAATACTCCAACTTAGGCCTAATCAGCGCAGAGTAAAGTGGAAGAATGACTTCTCGTGTCTTGCTCACAGCACTCCATTTAATGCATCCCAGAGTCCAACTAACCAACTACCAACTAATGTCTGGAGAGAAATGGCAGCAGCCAGTGCTGGAGAAGAGCTCAGCAATGGTTTAACAGTGTACATGAGCCCCACACAGTAATGGAGCAAGAACTTCAGGCAGGCAGGATGTAATTGCTCATAGTGGAAATGAGATGAGGAAGCACTGATGTTAATGCACGGTCTTAACTCAAGGCTATAGAACAGATTTTGATGGTCAGAGGTTGTGTGCGCCTTGCTGGGGTGTCGCACCCAGGGAAGATATGGAGAGGTGTCATTCAACTGACAGCAGCGGGCAGGAATTAAACGTGTCCGTGAAAACTATAGACAGGCCCAGAGCATCTCCAGGGTCAGGTTGCAGGTGAGACTGACGGGTTCTTTTCAGACTTGCAGCCGTGATTTCCTGATGACCATTCATAGAGTAGCATTAGTCATGAGTCTGGGAATCCAAAAACGTCAGCACCTGCCATCAAAGGAGGACTGTGGTGGAGCAGGAGAGGTCGGATGCTGCCCCAAACGCTACGTCTGCACAGATATCACAGCACTGAACTCCCAAGTTGTTCTGCAGACCAGAGATGCTCTCTCCATGCCCAGCGATGGGGCACAGTGAGGCCTTGGCAGTGGATGCTTTAGAAACCCTTCAGGAGTACCAGCCCTGGTCTGTATGGAGGTGAGAGCTCTCAGGGACTACAGAGCCGAGCGTGCCGCCATGTGGCCTTGCCACTCAAAGCACGCTGCAGATCACAGCCTCTTTAATTATGACAGCAAGGTGCAGACTCACTGCAGCTACAAGCCGACTCAGCTTCCTCTTACCTTCACAAAGCAAGGTCAGGGTTTGGTCATGCCAGGACAATGGGATGTGCCTGCCGGCTCTGCTCCCGGGCAAGAGGCTTCTTCGCTGGGGAGGCAGCGTCCGGGCCCACCGCAGCCAGGGGTTGCTCTGGCCAGCTGCAGCTGCCTCTTCCTGCAGTAGGCCCCGCAGGGCTGGAGCTGCCCCCTGTTCAGGGTGGGCAGGGAGCTGCTCCCCAGCCTCTATGGTTAACTGGGACCAGTAAGCATTACCCACTTAGAATGAGGCTTACTGGTTAGCCCATTAACTGGTTACCCTTCCCCATCCCTACTACAAATGTGAGAACATACCTTTGTATCCACTTTCTACACCTAGCACTGCTCTCCAACGCCCAGTAATTGCCACATCAGAACAGCCCAATGGCCCATCTAGCCTGCAGCCTCCCCTACTTGTACCAGAGTAGGTGGACACTCGCTAGCTTCAAAATCCCAGACCCGGTGTCACTAGTGGGCCAGCTAGCCTGGGATCTCACTTTCCCTTGTCCCAGAACTGACCAATGGCCCAGCTACCCAGGAATCTGCATCCCACAGCGGTCAATGTCCAATGCTCTGGAGAACAATATAAAACCTCTAGAATGCACTGTACTGTGCAGCATGTAGGGGAAGGAATTCCACCCCACTTCCAGCTGCTCATCAGCTTAGGCCCTGAAGTCGGAGAGGTGGTGATTGCTCTCCTCGCTGCAGGTATGATTTCTTATTCGTAAGTTCTTAGGCACTTGTCCAAAAAGCTTCCTACGTGATACACAAATCGCCCGTTTAAATCATTTCTGTTGTGGCACAACGAGAAGATCACTTTCAATGTCAGTGGCTACTGCCAGGTACGTCTGTTTGGCTATTTAAAATCCAGCATCTCTGGTGCTAATTTACATGATTGCACACAACTCTGACCAGAAGACCTCTAGCAAGAAATTAATGAGCGACAGAATGCTGTGTTAATGGCTTTAAAAAGATACAGCCAGCTACTTACAAAGATCCAGTTAGTAACCACCCTTCGAAACATAAAAAATGCTTCTTTTCCAGACAGTTTTGCTTGTTTTTCAGATAGACAGACGCGCACGCATGCACACACGCACGCACACACACACACACAGTCTCTCAATAAGAAAATGAGATGAAGCCATGGGACTTTCTGCACGGTCTCTCCATACAGCCCTTGTGCTGGATAGAACTTTGAAGAGATGAAGCAGGGTCCAGACCTTATCGGGCTAGCTTGGGAATTAAAAGACCTGCGTGACTTGCGGCAAGCCAGGGAAACTACCATGTTCCCCCACAGAAGATGGAGATGATAGCCCAGCTTCTCATTATATACTTGTTCCCATAACATCAGAACTAGGGGTCACCAAATGAAATGAATACGTAGTAGGTTTAAAACAAACAAAAGTAAGTTTTTCTTTATGCAGCGCAGTCAACCTGTGGAACTCCTTGCCAGGGGATGTTGTAAAAACCAGGAATTTAACAGAGTTCAAAAAGATCTACATACATTCATGGAGGTTAGGTCAATCAATGGCTATGAGCCAAGATGGGTATGAATGGTGTCCCTAGCCTCTGTTTATCACAGACTGGAAACGGAGAGGAATCACTTGATGATTACCAGTTCTGTTCACTTGCTCTAGGGCACCTGGCATTGGCCACTGTTGGCAGACAGGCCATTGGGCTAGATGAACATTTGGTGGATGTTCACACAGGGATGTGGTGAGGACAAACACCCTGGAGATGGTGAGTGCTTGGCTGCTCTGGTGCCCAAGCCACATAAATATCCTGAGCAGAAAGGGGCTCATATTGCTCCCGCACTCACAAGCAGCAGCTCCTCTCTCCTCCTGACCTGCACGGCAGCTGCATCTTCCCCCTCTCCTTAAAGCAGTAGTGGGGAACCTCGGGGCCGGATGTAGCCCCCTGCTTGCCTGGAAATGGCCCCCGAGGCTCAGGGTTTTCTCCCCAGCACTGGGGAGCCCACACTGGTGTACCAGCCCCCTCTGTGTGTGCTCCAGTCCTGCGGTAGGGCAGTCTACTAGGTTGGGCTCCCCTAAGCTCTGGTGTACAAGGGGAATGTCGCAAGTGTCTTTCTCCTGTCAGTACGGGCTCGGTTTGGTTTGGTTTTGTTTTGGTTGGTAGGGTTTTTTTGCTTTTCACTTGTGTGCAGCCCTGACTGATCCTTCGGTGGGAGAGTAGCCTCCCCTGACCCAAAAACATTCCCCACCCATGCCTTAAAGTAACGGTATTGCTGCTCATTGCAGCAGATGGGCTGCATTACTGCTATCCCTATTTTTGGGCTGTACCCAAGCAACGAGAGACCCTCACTCTGCTATTTCCTGTTTTATGGCCATCCCGGCTGCTTCCAGCCTGAGCTGGGCTGATAAACCAAATCAAGAAACCCTGTAACAACTTTCGCTACACATCTAAACTGCCTGGTGGGGGAGACAGCAACGTGTGCAGCTCATGCCAGCCGAGCGATGCTGACCTGCGTGTCTCCTGGTTGCAATGCAGCGGCAGGACAAATCCTAGAGGGCCTTTTATGGTCAGATCACCTCTTCTGCACGGGGAGAGGAGGACGCTTTCTTGTAGAGGCCCGACTGTTACAGACATTTGAGCAGAGGGCTGGGAGCCAGGAAAACCGGGGCCTCATCCCATTTCTGCCTCTGACTCGCTGGAGAAAGCCACCACCTCCTTAGGACTCTGGGCTTTGAGATCCCCAGGGAGAAGAGGCATCAGGAGGTAAGATGTGAGAGAGACTGGAGGTACCTGGCTGAATCCCAGGTGCCTTTTGAGTATCAATGGAACATTTCAGAAGCAGAACTGATGCTCTCCCATCTGGCACAGGATGGGCTGCGTGCAGGAATGGGCCAGGGACCCCCCCAAGCCCTGCCCAACATCCCTCCCTTGCTTAGTTGGTGTTCCCCTTGTCCCCACTCCCTTCCCATGCTGCCCGCAGGGCCTCCATGTTGGCACCAGCCTCCGCACTGATTGCCCCAAGTGTTCAAAGGGGGAGTTAGATACATCCAGTGCTAAGCACGTGACAGATGCGGCAGGGTTCGCACATGGGTTGAGGGAACATTGGTCCGGACCAAAGAGCAAAGTGTTCTGTGTCCCACCTATGTCACGTCAGGTAGTCATCTAGGCACTAGGAGGTAGCAGAGGCCCCCAAGAACAGTTCAAGGCCCAGACAACTGCAAAG